AACAAAAAAGTTACAGGCCTATGCTGGAAGGGGATGCAGTCAGGGCAAGGACATAGTGCCGCTGCACACAAAACTGTACCCGGCAGCTCTTTGTAATCCAGTAATTCCCAACCCAAGCAAAATCAGCCCTGCTTATCATGGCACCCAGTATATCAGAAGCGTCACTGGGTAATTTGTAGGACCACAACAAAAGGATGCCTATACACATGCCTTGAGGCTGTACATGCATATAAGCACCCTTTAATCATCTATACATGATTTATTGGGTCTGCTGGAGCATGCTGCAGCACTATGTGCATCAGCGTCTCAGCACTTTAAAATGGTGGCAGGGGCACTTTAACTGTAGCTTGAACCATAACCCCCACCACCTTTTATTAGCATGGGGACCCTGATGCATGTGATGCTCCAGGCACTTTTATTAAAGTGCCCCCTGCCCCCGAGCACATGTATAAAACACCCAAAGAGTAAAAATTAATCAAGTAACCCAGCAGTACAGGGAAGCAGACAGGTGCCTAGGACCACCAAAGTAACCAAAGAAAGAGGTTACTCTGCTTATGATAACATGACATCTCAACTATAACAGGACTGCATACTTCAGATGGTGCATTCAGATTTACAAAAATTTCAGTTTACAAAGTGAGGCCTGCTACTCCTACCTGCCTGGGAAATGAATTAATTTGTATGCAATATTTCTGATACACAACCAAGTAAGAACATTCATTTTTAACAGGGCCTGTTGCCTAATCTCTCCGCAGTCTGCAGACACTGGATATGACCAGCCCCTTCACCATTGCAGCTGGGCTGGGGGGAGAGCAAAAAGGTAGGAATTCAATCAACTTAGCTGGTTGGAGCATTCAAAGCTAAACCTTGGTCATTGCTTGATGGCTGTTGAATCTGTGGTCACAAATGCATCTGGAACATTCCTTATTAGGCCAGTTGGACTGGGAGCAACAGCAGCTTGAAAGGATCTGAACACTGAATACAAAAACCAAGGGACCTAGCAAACCTGCACTGATGTAGCTCTAGAGACTGCAAAGTGTGGTACAGAAGTTTTCACTACAGTTTTTGGCTACTCAGTCTTAAAGCGATTTTTAACAGCTTTGGAGGCAAGTCATTATGGGCGATGGAGGGTGTGTAGCTTGCCACAAATTCAACAACAGGACTAATGGATTAGCAATTCTAGGAAGAACTGATTCACCAGAGATTGAGTGAGCATCTGTAAAAAGGCATGAACTGCAGGCTATTATCCTGCCCAGGCACAGCTAACAGCAT